AAAAACGTTCCGTGGACGAACCTGGATCTGGTAGGAGGGGTGCATTTGGTCCGAGAAGTAGAGCAACTGCACCGGCACCACCGGTTGGCTGTGTACTTTTGGTGGCGTAAACAGCGATATCTGCGGCGACAACCAGGGCGAGGCGGCCTGAAGGGGAAAAAAACTAAATAAATACGTATAACAACTTCAACTGAGTTTTCTTCGATATATTTCGACCGTCGCGAGCGACGATGTCCACCGCCGCCCCACAGGTAAAACCAGCAACGTAGATATGTTAAAAGTAAAGTAGACGCAATGTAGAATTACACGGTATCTACCGTACTTTCTTCACTCTCGTACACGTATGTTTGACCTGGGCCTCCGTTACAACAATTTGACGACACATTGCGCGGCAATATCTCGGCCTAGGCATTCGTTATAACAACACGAAGTTCCGAAGGCAAGACAACCGAAGGTGGGGGCAGCTGCGGTGACTGACGAGGCTGAATGACCCATCTAGGCATACTACATATATCAATGAATTTACCCATAGCCTAACACACAGCTTTGCACTAAAGGTACGCCACCGCACTTAGCTGAACTTACATGAAACGTGTCTCGGATATCAAAGATGAAATCAGTTCCAGACTTGGACCGCGTTTTCAGACAACGGTCCGCCACCTGCCATGTTGTCGCTCGATTTTGAATGAAAATATCCCCGGCGAAGTAGCGACACACATGCACAAACATGTGCGTCAGCTTCTGAAATCGTGCGCACTTTCGGTAGCTTTAAATCTTCAACTACTTTGAGCGCGTCTAGCACAGACAAATGTGAGTACAACGATAGGACATAAAGGAACTAGAAACTAGAAATTGATAGAGGTACCGTCACAACTGGTTGATTCGAGCCAATTGATTGCATTGAAAAGCGCAGCAGTGCTCCCGTAGCAGGCACTCTTGACGTCAATTCCGGCTACGTCATAATTGCCCGATTCCTCAAAAAGCTGCATCAGCACGCTTTTTGTGGATTTTGATTTGTCGATAAGAGATTCGGTCCCTACCTGCAAATACAGATGAATAGTTTTACAAAACCAATCCGAAGAACAAACAGTAAAACTGGCGATATCAGTTGCACAAAAATGTGTTAATAGTGGTGCCAAAGAGGAGATACTTACCAACGTTTTCAGCAGGAAAAAATAATAAATTCGATGTTATAATACTAACCATAGGACCTACACAATCAGCGGAAAATATCCAAAATGCTGGTACAGTTTAAAGGATTCTAACAGTCAAGATGAACTACACTGATATACCGCAGGTGTCCGAAATTAAGTAAAACTGTGTACGCGGTTATTTGCGAAAAAAGTTGGTTAGTTATACGCTTTCAGAAATCAGCTCGCGTCCACCGTGGAAGATGATAATTGTGATGCCAATTAATCATGGCTAAGACGCTTCACCTCTGATTATACTAGCCGGCTGCAAATTACACTTTAAAGGAAACCGTGTGCTTATCGTTTAAATCGTCTGTTGCGGCGCAAAGGCCTGCAATTGCTATTAAAAAGGGGCAGCACTACATACGCAAGTTTCGATGCAGAAGTACCAGGAGAGTGCACTATGCATTACGATGAATACGAGATAGTAGTGATCAGAAGACTGAAAATCAAGCAATGCCATTCAGAAAATAAATAATACACTCATGCAATGACTTCAGCTACAGCTCGAGAACGCCAACAATTGGAAGGGCAGCGGGTAGGATTCGGCGAGTGACTACCGGGGCTTTATGAGCAAGCATATACCTAACCAGCGTAAAAAGAACACTATTTTTGTAGGCTGAGAAACGATTTGCCAATTACGCACAGCAGCTAAGCCACATCATAATCTACTTATGCATGAGCTTTATCGTGATAAACCTAGACAGGTTACACTAAAAATGGAAATTGATTTATGAGCATACGCTAGATGCCACCCACACAACCCAAATTAGAGCAATTAAAAATTGTTCGGAAGCACGTCAAAGCACACCCTTTTAAGCAGCTGGATACAATTTTGAAAATTGAAGGCCTGAGAAACTCGAACTAATCGTAGCTTTTTGTTATATTTTATGTAAAATATCAGTGCATATTATCAAGTACCTCCAGAAATCCCACTTTTTTCAAGTCTAAACCGATGCGCTGGATGAGATTATGGGTTACGGTAAGGGCGAGTGAATTGATATCTTCAGCAATATCGCATATTGCCATTGATACTTGCCCAAGACCCTTGGTGTACTTCCCAGGACAACCATTAGTTTTCTCCAACAGTTGCTGATCTACCAACTGTTTTGGGAAATACAGCTCAGCTGCTAAAATGCCAATGCGCTTATCCATCTCAGTACAACCACGCGCTAACGTGCTATTGAAAGACTGCTTGCGCGTCAGCCTAGTTAAAGCAAATTGAAGTTCGGTTGAGTCTGTTTATAGGAAAATATGCTGATACTCTGACCGCCATACTCGTTATACGCAGCGCACAGTTGTATATGAGAATTCTTTGTGCTGGAATACAGCAAGCTAAGTTCGTAACAAAGTTGACATGAAACTCCAGGGATAAGTTTTACCGTCTATCGTACAGGTTCCTGTTGGACCTTTCCAAATTTGAGAAAATCACAATACCGGAAGAAGGAATATTCCTTACTTGGGCTTCCTTGACTGAAAAAGAGCCTTTTATGTATATCTAACCGAGCCTGCTGAAGATGAGGTTTTAGCGGTTTGATTATCGTCTCATAAACAATGAAGTTATCAAAGGTCAGTCAGTCAGTCAGTATATTTGAGGGAAAGGTAGGCTTGCGCCTT